AAACAGGTTAGTAAAAAATTATGATTATTTTCTCTTTTACATATAAGTGGAAAACATGAATTAATTAATTTAAGGGTCACAAAAGGTCACAAACTATTTATATGTACATTTATAATCTACAAAAATGTATTGATATACATGAGCTGGTATATTTTTACAATAAATTTTCTTTATTATTCTCTATATTGCAGTTAAGAACTTAAAAATTTTTGTATACTCAAGGTCATATGATGGTCGAAACCAATTTGCTTAAACAAAGTCATGTTTTCTTCTAACATCTTTTTGTATCGTCAAAAAGAAAGGAAATATTCAATGTAGTTAAGATATGTGGAACATTATGCATAGTGTTAATTTTATTATTAATAATACCTTGATTGGTAATGGATCCATTGGAGAAGGTCTAGTTGTTACATGGTCCATAACAAACATTTTGACTTTATAAGCAACGTTCTCTTGTGTCAAAGTTGTTGCAACTTTCTCTCTTAATCGTTTAGAATACTGTTTTAAGTGAACTTCATCTTCATGGAAATTAAATAATGTAGATACGCCATAAACGGTCCAGGTTTTATGTAATAATTCTGTAAAATATGAAATATTATATTTTCTCTATTCTCTATTATTGTATTTAATATAAATTTACAGTATTTATTACTTTGTATTTAAAACTTTCACAATAGTGACCTGAATATTGCATTATACTTTATAATTATTTTAAAATATAGCCTTACGTATACATTATAATAATATAAGGAAAGTACCAGATAAGTTTTCAATAAGTCCTTCCACTGATGAAGAATTGATACCTAAACAAAAATGCTGTTGTTCTCGCGTTCCTGGTATCAAAGGTGACTTAGTAGCTCTACTAGTGCTTGGTAGTATATTTCGTTGAGTATTTTCCATTCTATCATAAAACTGTTCTCGAAAAAAAATACATATGTACAGTAGTAATAATTAATTTGAGAACTTGAGAACATTTGAAAGTTATGCCTTTGTCACGGATGAGTAGTTCAGCAGAGTAGGGGCAGAGGGCAGCGTAGTTAACCGACGTGACGTAACGTAACCAATCGCAAACGTTAGAGCATCCCTTGTGTGGATAATTAACATTTTCTATTTTATCGACAATATTTGTGAATGAATCATGTTAACGAAATTTTTACCACCTTGAAAATATTAATTCAACTATTATTGTTACTTACCAACGAGTAAACAATTGATAATAAATCTTCTAAGAGTGAACACAATTTTACGAAACCAGAATAACTTATTTATTAGTTTAATAATTTCACATGAAAATATTTCAATTAAAAAATATTAAATATTTAATTAAATTATAAGTGTGAAATGGCTGCTTTGCGCTAGCCGAGCTCACCTTTCATTGGTCAGGGTTTTTCGTTAATAACTTGTAAACAAAGTCGTAAATTGTATTTGCGCTAAGAAAAAAGTTACTTCAAATGACATCAGGAACCCCTCATTTTCCGGGAGTAAAATAATTTTGGGACACCCTGTATAAGCTATGCTAGATGAATTGGGCATTATTTAGATAAAAAATTATTTAAATAACGATTTTAATAGAAGATACTTTATCTTTATTCGTTATTCGAACGTTTGAATAAAAAAAGTATTTTTATTTGACGAGTATCGAATAAATAATTTCATTCGACAAGAATTTATCCGACGAATAAAGATACCTTTTTTTTTCGAAGCTCATTTATTCGAAAAATAAAGTTTTCATCTTTTATCTGAATCTTTATTCGAAGGCTTCGAATAATTATTGCCAGCTCGAATAAACGCAATGCCGAAATGCCGAGCATCGAGCCCCAACCTAGGCGTGAGTTCAATCTATAATACAAATGCTTTATGCCATAAAGTTTATGACAAACTTTAAAATAAAATTACCACTTTAAAATAAACTGCCGAATCTTTATTTGATCGCAGTCGCGGTAGAACAAGATATTTCATTTAGAATGATCTGCTTATGGTTTTAATAATTCTACGTAAGTGTTAATAATACGATATTCATTATGTCTACAGATTTTTTAAATATTGATGGTAGTATTAAAGGGGTACAGAAAATAACCCTAACCCCATATAAAGTAGCAACTATTATTTTAATTAAGGAGTATTGCAATGAAACCACGAAAGGTAATGTAAAACATGTTTATCTTCATAATAACGCTATTTATTTCATAATAAGAGTGGTATAATAAATAACATACATAATTAAGTATGTAATCTTTAGCTAAAAATGCTTCTAAAGCTACTTTTTTTTTGTAGCAATTGTTGAAAGACGTGACTTTTGCTTGGCAGCATTAAAATTGATTCAAGTAAGTTCTTTCATTCATCAATATATTATAGAATAATTTACCACTCTTTTTTTTCTTTTACACATCATATTATTTAGATTTAATGAAAAGATTAATAAACTAATTACATGGTTTACTATATTAATTATAGTAAATTATTATTAATCATTTCTTTTTTAGTCTCCAGACATGGATCTTAATTCACTTTTAAATGTGTTATATTCTCCTGAATATGTTCTCCATCGATTTGCACATCAATTAGAAGTACAGTTAAATGTTTTAAAAGGAGATGGAGTTGAAGGATTAGTAGATTTATTTGACAGTGTGGGACGTCTTATGAAGCCAACTCTGGACCATTCTCTTTCTTTGCCTGCATTAAATAAACATTCTGTTCTTGGATTGTACATAAGAAGAGCTATTATATCTTTTGAGAAGTTATTTTTTGATAAAGTTGTATCACTTTATGAAGATTTAAAGAAATATTCAGATAAAAAGGCGAATACCTCGGACATTTCTGACATTTCTATAGGTTCTAAAGTAGATGACTTGTATACAAATGAGTAAGAATTTCTGATAATACTTTCTCTGAATGTATTATTTTCCTATTATTATGTATACATTATATACTATTTTATATTGTTAACAGAACAAAAACAACTTGGGGTGGAAGGCAAGCTGAATTGCTGGTAGCACAACAAGCACATGCATTACAAACAGATGAACATAAAGCAATGTCTCCTGCAGAATTACAAGTTCTTGTGCGAGAACTATTAAGTTCTAGCCCTTACTATGCTGAAGCTGTGAGTACTGTTTGGTAAGAAAATAGTTTTTATGTTTTCAATGTAAAAGCATAAATAGACAATTTATTCTATTAATAATTTCTCTATGTTTGTTAATGTATTTCAGCATTACTTAAGTTATCTAAACTGCTTACGAGTAAATGAATACTGTGGAGCCATCGATAGCCTTTATCATTGTTTTGATAGATTGGCGCCTCTGGAAAACCGTTCTGCACCTGAAGACAGATCTCGTATTTTCAGATATGCAGCTTTAAATTTAGCAGTTTTACATGCTCAATTTAATCATAAGTATGAATGTATAAAATTATGTTTCAATTGGTGGTTATTGATACTGAAGAATATAACCTCGAAAGTTTTTTCTATAGGGAAGTAGCTCAAGCTGCTTTAAAGGAAGCTATCATGATAGCTCAAGAAGCAGGAGACAATGTGTGTTTGCAGTTAGCACATGCTTGGATGTATCATCTAACTACTGAACAGAAGTATGTATTAATATTACCATTAGTAAAGAATGATATATACATATAAAACAATTGCACCTACGGTCTATTTATACATTTCTTAATTTAAAAAAAATCTTTATATTCAATGAATTCCAATTATTCCAATAATCATTTAAATGTAATTGCATTAGTGTTAGTTATCGCAGCATTAATACAATTATTGTATAATTATCTGTGTTACATAGGGGATTACTTATAGAAAGATCGGTTGGCAAGGCAAGTATGTTGGGAATTAATCATACCACTGGCTTGGGTCTCATTGCATATGCTCATAATTCCGCTTTAAAAGCTAAAGGTCCACCACAAGTGTTTGAGGTATATGTTTTTATACATTTAATACGAGTTTAAAAATTTTGTAGATATTTAACGAAGATAACAATATAGCTTTTTACTTGATTCTAGACTCTCATGAAATCTGATGTTTTAAATTGTCAACATTCCATGATCGATTTAATGTCAATGACTTATGCTGAAAAATCTGCATTATGGGCATACTATGGTAAAACTGAAATGTCATCCGTTTCCGCGCAGTTACTTCTTTTACACAATACAGGAGATAAAAAGCAGCATATGTTCAATGGGCCATCTACTTGTCAAGCTGTTGTTAACATTGCAAATATTTTAGTCGAGTTTGGTGAATATTCTTTGGTTGACATTGTGCTTGCCCATGCAAAGGAAAGATTTCCTAATGAACCCTGCAATAAGGTATTAATTTACAAATTACTGTCGTATTTCAATGTTTATTCGAATATAGCATTCTTACATTTACAGATATGGATGTTAAGCGAGCAACTTTACATATTCACTCAATTAATAAGACACGAAAAATGGAGTGAAGCAGCAGCAGTAGCAATGAATATTTCAAGTTTAGATTCTTTGGAAAGTAAATTCAGGTATAACAAAAATGTAAAACTATTTGTTAAATATTGTTTTAAATTAAAAAATTTGTGTTTAAGGTTAGCAGAAGTTTGCTTAGGGAAAGGAGATTATCCTAAAGGCGTGGAATATATCAATAGTATCGAAGAATGCGAACAAATAACGCCGCAAAATAAAATAAAATCTATGCTTTTATTGAGTCAAATAATGTATGCATCGGGTTCACTGGAAAATGGAATGGCTAGTGTCAACTCTATAGTGCTTCTTAACACTGCGTTGGAGTTAGCAGTACAAAATCATTTATCTTACTACGAAGCTTTCGTTAAAATGCATCTTTCAAACACTCAGGTAAATAAATTAATGTATATTTTTAATTAATTCATTGAGTGTTATATTATTCTACTTTTCTTAATAGCTGATAATGGGCATGCCAACGTTAGCTTTAAACTTAGTGGAAGAAGTCATTACTCAAATTTTAGCACATGCTGGATATTATGATCAGGGCAGAGCGTTCGTTTTATATTCAAAATGCTTAGTTGCCACAGCACCAGTATGTGGCAATGCACGGAAGGAAATTATTTTAAGGGCTATTAAAGCACTCTCTAAAGCAAAAGATTGCTTTGCAAAAGTTGAAGCTTATGGAAGACTTCGAACTGCGTTGTGTCTAGAATCATTATTATATCACGAAATAGATTTAAAGACTGAACGAAATCAGTGTGCTTTCGAGTTTCGACAATTAGACGAGCAATTCCTGACAAAATTAAACAACCTTTCTTTATATTAGAAGGAAAAAATTGCATAAAATTATACTTGAAACAAGCTTCATATTGTTCTTTTGTATTGAATATATGTACTACTAAAAATATCAATACGAAGCAAATGATTGTTATAAGTTGTTTTTCATTCTCAAATTGAAAATAACTTTAAGATTATTATTTAGATGTTATTAAGATAGCAATTTTGTATTGTTAATAATTTTTAAATAAAACCAGTAAAATTGTCATTCTTAATTTTTGTTATAAATTGACCTATAGAATTTTCCTTAAAATATTCTTGGCACGTACAGTTTGTTCAATAAGAGCGTTGTCCGATTTTGACGATTTTTTGTCTATATATATCAAAGTAATTTTTTAATTATTGAAAAACAGATATATATTACTTTTTTAGATATTGTTCCAATACTCTTTTATTAAACAGACTGCACAACAGTTGAAAATCCTGTAGCACAGAGATACGCTTTTAGTATTTTTCTAAATCTATTTTATATATATATATATATATATGTAGATTTATGTGGATAAAAATGACTGTAAGTACACTCTCCTGCACAATATTTCAAATAAAAAATTTTAATAACATGGTTACATCATAGTACAGTATTTCTTAACATAGTCTACATATCGCGCATATCCTATAGAATAATTTGTTTTGCATCGAACATACGTCACATTCTCTCGTACTTTTATTCATTCATACATACTGGATGAATCACCACAAGATTCT